TGATTTTGCTCTATACTCTATACTAGTGATTTTGCTCTATACTCTATACTAGTGATTTTTTGTTCCTGCATGCACACGCCCGAGATAGCGAGTGACTCACTGCGAGGTTTTTCACTTCGAAGGAATGCAGCGTGGCAGAGCAGACGATCATCTGCAGTCGCTGTCCGTCCGCCGTCACTTTCGGGATCTGTCGGTGCAAGCGCATGATCATATCTTTGTAGCCGGCTGCGAGCAGTCCATCCGCCTCATCCAGGATGAAGAACCGCACCTGTACAGCATCAGTTACCTGTATGAACTCTACACCTGTGTAACAACAGTTACCTGTATGAACTCTACACCTGTGTAACAACAGTTACCTGTATGAACTCTACACCTGTGTAGCACGCATAGACAACAGTTACCTGTATGAACCAGCTGTTTATTTACCTGGCTAAGAAGCAGTTTTTCTGTAGAGATGAAATCTTCCAGTCGACCAGGAGTTGCACAAACTATATCTACCTGAAAATTATATAAGGAGCTACATATAGAATTGCTTTATGCTAGGCTTTGCACATGTACTGATGTACATAGAGGACCTATTATGTATTTATGTAAATACAAATTAAAATAGAAACAGGCCGAATAGGCAGTGTATTCCGCTTAGCTACCGCTTCGTAATCGTTCCATTCTCATCTGAAGTGAAAATGAACCCAAATGATGTGATATTTCTACTATCATGGGCAGATAATGACAAATGACATTTGTCATTATCTACCCCTGCTACTCTGTTATACTTTGGCAACGGAGAACTAGTGAAATGCCACTGCTTACCCCTGAGAACAGCTTGTCTAACTGCTGCTGCACACTGACTCCGCCAATCACCAGCACATCTCTGTCAGAACAAACATATAGAAGATCATCAGTGTAAAAGTGTAACGTTAACACACTGACAATGATGCACTGTGAACCTGAGACAGGTTTGCGTATAGTAACATAGTGCACAATAATAACTCACTAACAGAAAACATTTTGGAAATATTTCAAAAAATAAAAAGATACGGCTAATGTATTTGGAACCTGAAATACCTTGGAACAGAAGATTTCAGGTGTTTTTTAAACTTCTGAATGTTGTCGTATGTCTGTTCAGCTAACTCGCGAGATGGCTGCAACATACATTGAACATTTTGCATACAAATAACAAAAACTTCCAAACAGTCAGCTATCCTGGTCGATCACTAAGCACACGCAACCTTCTTTAGTATTATAGCTGAATTCTGTTGCAACGTATTCGTGGCAGAGTATTAGACTTCCCGTGAGTTCCAACAGTTGCAACGCGATGCTTGTGATAATAATCAAGCTCATTCGAAACCATATTGGTTGAACAAAATCACGATTTACAGAAAAAGCTACAATAGACAAACCTAAACCAATTTCATGAAAAGTGAGATAAATAATAAATGCATAAAATAAATTCATAGAGGTATATTTTTTTGATTGATGACAAACAAGATAAGAGAAATTAATAAAAATTTGAAAACAGTCATCATTCTGCAATTTAGGCATACGAAAGAGCTAATGTTGCTCAATCTACCATGCAGAATAGATAGGTTTAATCAATATTGATCGACTCCATAAATTCACTATAAACTAAAGTGATAAATGCCAATCTCACCTCTATAATGATCGCCTGTGGAGCATTGGGAGCTGGCTTGCTGACAGCCGCTGCTGTCGCTGTTCCAGACACTGCCTGCTGTTCTTTAGGTATGCGACTAAATGCTGTGTATCCCGGAGGAAGAGGAAACTTAAATGCTTCCCCACCGAAGTTAAATTTCATCTCTGCATTCTACAAAAGAGTGAGGCATCAATGTGAGGAATTCCACAAACGTGATCTTAACAAAACAGATCAGATTTGTTTTTATAAACATTTTACTATCTTCTCACAACTTGATGATCATGAAATTTTACTTGTCGTCACACGCATACATCCACAGCATATGCTCATGCATACAACACCTGCATAAAGACACTTGCTGACGTGAGCTAAAGATGTGAGTGAATAAATGGATATAATTCAGCTATTATCAGCTTTATATGCTATTATTCCCCAATCGTCAGCCTGTGTTTCACATTATATACCTTGAGCACGACAGCAGCAAAAAACGCTGAGCTTTGAAGATTCTTGGGAATTACAAAAGCATCACCCAAGTCCTTCCCATTCTTCAGGTACTTCATGACTCCCTCGTCTAGATTTAGACAGCAGCCAATGGTATCATTCATGCCATACGGTTCGCCATACGAGTCAAACTGCCGCCCAAATGACTTCTTTCCAGTTCCACCATATCCAAAACTCTCCTTATCTGTACCTACAGAGTTTCAAAAAAGTACATGAGGGAATTGGAGTGTATCAGAACTGTAAGGAAAACAACAGATCTTTTCATAAACAGTAATGTTTTTAGCGTGAATATACTATTGCTTGTATAATAAACCAGGATTTACCTAGGTCTAGTGTAGCCTTCATTGTAGACCAGCCTACTCGACACAAGCCTTCATCTGATACAGAAGCCTCATAGTAATATTTACCTGCAATTGGTAATCAGTCACGCTTGATGAAAAAATTTCCCCCAATTGCTTTACCCTAGCTTGAGTATTATTTTTCACATTCAAGGAAAATATTCATTGAAAATAAATTAATACAACTATAGAGAGCTAAGTTAAACTGATCACTCAAACTATATTTAACAGTTGAGGTCATTTCTTTTACTGCAACAGCACATGAACCACATTATATGCAAACAAAAATCAGAAAAGATTTGAAAAGCACTTCAATAATAAAAGCATTCACATTCAATTAATCATATGAAATATAATTATAACAGCAATAATAATATAAAACATTGATTCAAAGAAACCATATAGCTTTACAAGTTAATGTTTTTAGAAATGAGATTTATATTTATTGCATTGTGTACATATCCACACTTACCTACACTACTTACACCTACTGTGGACCTACAGCCATGCCATGACTGCTGCTCTCTGCTCTGGCAAAGCAAACCCTCAGGATCAATGGCTGAAACAGTGGCATGCACATAGTTATCACAGTTAATACATGAATATGCAGATGGATAAAACGTTCATGCATAAGTTACTGAGCTTCCATGAATAGAATATGAGTTGTTCATGCAAAAATGTGTGTATGTACCGATCAGCAAACCAGAAAGTTTAAATATAGATATCACAACCTCATATATTAAAATAAAAATAAAAATATGAGTATAATTCCTTCTCTAAAGTGATAAATTAGTAATTAACTTATTATATATTTTTATATTGACTTCTTACCCATTGCATCGCCTCTGTCATATGAATTCATCGCAACTTTTCCTGAATAAGAATAATTGGCAGATGATTAAATTAATTTAAAAGAACTGAAATGTATGTAGAATGCTACTGGACCACTAAGTCTTGTTTATCACATGTTCAATCAATAAAATTAATTCCAAGTTGTTGTAAATCCACAATCATCTCCCCACCCAAGAAAAATTACTAGAGCACATACAGGTTTGTAACGGCCAAACGTTTGTTTGTTTTTTGATAATGTTTAAAATTGTTTTAATAATGTCGGCCGATAGCTGGCGTTGTCCGGTAGAGTGACAACAAGAGAGTAGGCTGTTCGCCACGAGTTGTCACTGGCTTCTTTTTGGCCTCCGTGCTTTGACGTGAGGGCAGCAATGTAGAGCAGCAACGTATAGGCAGCTACGTGTCATGTCTAGACATGTAGTTGCACCAGAGTTTACTTGTTATAGCTTAGGACGACGATTTAATATAGCCGTAGAGACGCGCTGAGGTCTATTAAATCTCAATCTGTTTTCAAGGGTGAACGTACGGTACGGAGTTCGTAACTGTGAACGACTATTGTTAATGAATATTGTGAATCAAGGAGCTGTAACGAAAGATGAATAAACGAAAGAAATATACCGACACCCTATGTTACAGCATTGTGTCTATTAGCGTGGATTCGTCGAACCTACCGCTATGCAGGTTCTTATATTTGGAATATGAAACTGAAATTCGTTTTAACTACTGCACGATCACAGAAGTTGGAGAAAGATGGACATTGAAGCAATTATTTTTTTCATGCACTCAATTATACTCTCAATAATATACCAATTTACAAAGCAAAAACTATTACCAACTCAACCATTGCAGAATTATTATAGCACGTGTATAATTGTAATTACCTCTCTTGGCAGACTTAGCAGTGGTCTTACTTGAACTCTTGCCTTTACCGAAAGCTGTAAGAGTCTCGTGCACTATCTGCAGAACTGGCAAACAGAATGCCTGCAACAAAATTAACAATTATTAATTAATCCATGCAGAAAAGAGCATGTAGCAGCACATGTGTGAAATTAACAATTATTAATTAATCCATGCAGAAAAGAGTATGTAGCAGCACATGTGTGCTGCTAGGGTTAGGACGAATAGGGGGAGATCACGATAAGATCTGTATCACGATACAATAAGTATAAAATTTTCAAGAGAAACTATAACAATCAAGTGAACTCTTACATATTTGTATCATGGAGCACTTAGTAAACAATTGCTACTGAATTGAGAATTGTATTGATATTGCTCTTGGATGAAACTGCACTATGAAATGATATGAATGTTAGTTAGTAGAGTATCGATACGTGAATCGTGAATGGTCAAATGTATCGATTCATGTATCATCAAGGCTTATATTACAATACACCGATATATCAATGAATCGTACTACTTTTTCTTATAGGTACCTGATATAAAAAGGCTAGACATAGCTTTCTCTTCTTGTAATTCATGAGCAATTTATCATCATGCAGAAAAACACGACACATTACCTTATATACCGCCATTAATTGCAATACTAATACTAGATAAACTATGGATATTATACTTACACCAGTCTTTCCACTTCCAGTTTCAGCAGCCTAAAAAATACGAGGCTAATATTCAACAAAAATGTGGGATAATAATTTCAGACTAAAAAAAACTACAATCACATTCAGTCATGTTAGAAACTAACTTAATGCCTAAATGTACAATACTTAGTAATACTTTGTATTCTTAGTAATTATAGGAACCTTGTAAGATAGTTTACAGGAAAAATACGAAAATTTATTTCTGGTTTTAGAAGCTTACCATCAGTACATCACCTCCTCCAAGAATCAGAGGGATTGCTTCAGCTTGAACATCAGTGGGCAGTCTGTTTTAAATTAACATGAACAGGTCTCATTATAAACATGTACGGCACAAGTCTTTTGTTTCAATATACTATTGTCAACAGTGTACTCTGAAAAAATGCACTGATCATATATGCACTGGAATTATTACAGCTAGTCGCAGTTGTCAACAAAAGTATACATGTATGTGTTTACCTGTAGGTAAGGTTATGGTAGTTAATGCTGTTCATATCACTATGCATGACACTATCATTAACATAATATGTAGAGCATGCTATGCTATACATATGTTCATAATACTATATATATTATACATATTTTTATGGTATTAGTAGGATATGTTCACTATAGTATTTATACCCCACAGTACTGGGTTAAGTACATTAAAAAAGATAAAGAAAATAAACTAAAATGTTAGCTTGTGCTATATACTTACAACCATCCCATCTCCTCCACTGCACTTGATAATTCTGGTAGCACCCCAAATTCTAAAATTTAAAAAAAATTCAGAGTAAGATCATGTAACTTGTAATGTGAGCTATCATTACGATGAACACAATGTTATATACAGTCTATACTAATTGTACTCCTGTTGTGTGGCTTTTTTTCATTGCACATCTAGACCCCAACAAACTTATAATACGCTGTGAAGGTGACGGTGACCAGGTCTTTGAACAGGAGAAGGAATGTTGTGGCTTTGTGGGGTTATGAATACATTGGCATACCCTCTCAATGTATTTCATTGCACTATCAAAATTGTAACCTTGCAATGACTACAGTATCTAAATATAGGGTGAAATGCGAACCACTCTTATTACTATCAGAAGCATTAACGTTCATGTTACTGTTAAGGTTATGGATTAGAGTTAAGGAGATAGTTATGTTTAGTGTTTGTGTTACGGTTTCTGTATTTAGAAGATTCAATCCACATGTGCTTGCACGCACGGTGAATACTCAGCCATGGCACCGTGCTGGTTACAGTTTTAAATTCTTCACAAATAAATTACATGAAAAGGGTATGTTTGTGCATGGTTTACCCCACGATTACCCTCCACCCTGTTCACTTTCCCAGTGAATTAAGTTTCTTGGGGTTTCGAAAGGCACATGCAGGCACTCTGCACACTGGTTTTTACTTCACTGTGTGGGTTAAAGGCGGGCTGCCTCGCTCAAATTCTCAGCCGCCACACAGAAATTTGTCCAAGACACCGCCTCACTGACGAAAATCACTGTTCTTCCATAGAACAGTGCTTATAATGCATGCACAAAAATAGCTTAGAAATAGAAAGCACCAAATTGCACCATTTTTTCAAAATATTTTCTGGGGGCATGCCCCTGCTTGGCAACTATTTGATATGGTTAGGGTTAGGGTTAGGATTAGGGTTAGGGAGTAGGTGTAGGTGACTCCCTAGACTCGTTAGTGGAGTAGGCGAGGTACGGTCCGGCATATTATTAGTACCAGGGTACGTTCCGGTATACCGGACCGTACCCATGGTACGTTCCGGCAGTACCCTGGGGGACATAGACCCTCTCAGCATTAATACTAATACTAATAGTACGTGGGTTTTATCAGATCTTGCTTGTCTATACGGCGCTGGCTATGACCACTGTATGCCCCCCCCCCCCTGACGCTAGACTTGTACCTGGTCGCCCTTCTCGGCTTAGTTAGTCGATGAGTACTCGAGGTGGGAGCGAGTACCAGTCTACCCCTTACGCGCACCCAGCGACACAGATGTGCGCAGCAACGGCGAGCGAGCAGAGTGCGGGGGCAAATTCACATACATCACCACATGGCCACGAGGAGGCAGTAGGCAACAGTGAACAGCAATGGCTGACTGTTTGTTATTTCATTTATCACTTTCCGAAAAAGCGACGAATATCAACGGATTTCCAGGTAATTTACTGCGGAGAGCAAGTAGTATCAGTGCGTAAATCCCGCGCGCAAAATACGCACATACATTTCAGGGCCGTAGCACAGGAACATCACGGGAAATTATCACGCGTAGCAATGGTGAAAAACAGTCGGAAACGGGCGAGTAGTGTCGCTTAAACGCAGTTTTTTGCACACTTCCTGTAAAGTGACATAATGTTTCTCGGTGGAAATGAACAAACAACACCTTCATTGCTTCAAGAACACCCCTGTCGATTTTAAAGGGCCTACCCCCACATTTACGAAAATGACATGTCTCAATCTGGACATCATCTCTATCCTTGAACTATAGTTACTCTAATAGTAATACTAATACTAATACTAAATAGTAATACTAATAGTAATACTAATAGTAATAATACTAGTATTAGTATTACTAATAGTAATACTATTACTATTAGTATTAGTACCGCTGTGGCTATAGGTGGGGGCGGACTGACGTCACTTCCCCTTAGCAACACTGCCGCGAGCCTTGCCGCGAGCCAGGGCCGATGAAAACAAAGCGTGAATCAGGGTCAATCAGCTATATTCAAGCCGGTACGGGAGATGACTGTACGCATATATTTGCTAATATATTGACTAATCGTGCGTCAATAAACTCA